TCAAGGTCCAAAACCCAGCCCCCCTGTGAAAAATTGACTGCAAAATGTTTTGACAATGGATAACATTGTTAGGGCAAGTACCCCCCAGTCAACAACACCGTAACGCCCCGTTCAGGGGGTTTTCCTGACGAATGCCAAACATGAACCCATTTTTCAATAGATATCACTGATTTGTGATTACAAAAACTCACTTTTAAATGACTTTTTAAGGCCCCCCGGGTTAATAACTACTTGCAAACATCACCTCCACTATTGACGAATTTATTAATTTTTTTTTTTTTAAGGAAAAAAAACCCAAACTACATAGGGGGTGACTAACAAAGGAGTTTTGATTTTGTAATTGACATCAGATTTTAAATTACAAAAAAATGTAACATTAGTTGTCTGGGGACAAGAAGAGAGCAGTGAGTTAATTAAGGTTTTTTTTTTGTCTATAATATATCCGTGAAAAAAATGTTCGATTACGTCTTATTTTTATAATAAATTTTTAATATATATATATATATATAAATAATATATATATATATATTTATATATATTTTTTTTTTGTGTCGGCTTAATAAATCATTCAAGCAAGCCAAATGTTTTTAAAAATTTTTTTAAATTTATATTTATTGATAAATTTGCACATCAATTAACACAGTATCATTTTTTTTAATTTTTAAAAAAAAAAAAATTAACAACCTGACCTGACTTTTCTAACTTTAATGGTGATTTTTTAAACCCCCTACCTGTAGGTCTTAGAAATTTTTTAAAAATTTGAAAAATTTTTTTATTTTGTAATGTTCAACCAATTTTCGTGAAAAATTGAAAAAAAGTAATGAACCGGCTTTTTTCAAAAATTAGGATAAAAACGAATGTTTTTTTGTTTTTTTTGAAAAACTTCGAATGTTTTTTTACAGTTTTCCCCCCTTTCAAAACATTTTCAAAAAGTCATACACCCTTTCCCCGGAAACCCTGTTTTGGTTAAAAAAAACGTTTTTTACAATCTCTGGTACCTAGGATGGGCATGAAAACCTGACTACACTGCATTACGGGGCCCGGGTGTGGGTTCAAACGGGTTAAAATGCAGTTGCCCTAAGAACCCCCAAGAAGACGTCCGGGTTTCATCTCAGCTGCGACTGCGGGGTCGTCCGTTACCCCGGTCCGGGGTTTTATCTGGGGTTTTGAGGTTTGGCTTTTCTCCGGGGGGTGTCCCCCCGACAGTGCCTTGCCTTGTCTGTGAGGGGGATGAGGGCCTTGGGCATGCCCCGCATTGGAGAGAGGGCGCGAGAGTGTGGGAAGGAAGCAGTGGTGTGTGAGTGGGGATATCCCACACTCGACCTTGTCCAGCATTTCAATGGAAGGTTGCGCTGGTCCCATTGAGTTCCAGTTCCTCCGAGCATGATGCATTACTATACCGGCGCCAAAAGCGTCTACGCCCAGGACATTGATGGAGGTCGGACTCGATCTATGCCAATGAAACATAATTTTTAAGGATTTTTATACGATATGCTCTTTAATCACTAAGGTATTTGGTAATTCTTTTTTGCAAATACAATTGAAAAAGTGTACGAAAAACTGAATTTCGCCTACTATAAAGGCCATTTAAAGATCTATTTAATTTGAAGTGTTGTTATTGTGGCAATGACGAACTTACAATTTGTAGATAGTTGACTATAAAAAAAATCACTGTATGATTTTATTTTTATCCATGCATGTTTATAATTCGGAAAAAAAAATTTAATCTTTGAAATTATTTTTGGTTTTGCGATAATATGTAAGATTTAACATTGTTGCTTAATCGGAAAACTAGACAATAGTTAATAAGTTTTTTTACGTAATAGAAGACACTTATAAAACATATTAGGTTGGTTTGGGCAATGAAGTTAGAGCTTATCGACTCACGAGGGGTCATTAAGGCTGCACGTCACTTGTCCCAATCAGTCAAAATTTTAAACCTTTTTTTTTTAATAATAATTTTTTTACCTTAAAATTGGACTAAATTAAAACTATCAGCGCAAGTACGGTACGAGTGAGAATATATCTCGTTAGTGTATATTTTCTGTTTCAAAATTATTTACACCGTAGAAGGGTTTATGAAACTGGTAAGGGTAACCTGGTAGAGAACGACAGCGAAGAAGGGAAATTTCTGACTCATCTAACTAAGGGGTCACAAATGCGGAGGGTACGAAGATAAGAACAATATTCTTGACAGAGAAGCATGGTAAGGAATGCAGTGAATGTAAATACCACTGTGCATAGGCTTGCGATAAAACAGAAAGAAAAAGCCTGTAGGGGGGGGGGCTGATGAGATGGAAGGTACGTCGAGGAAAGAAAGTAAAGAGTTGATACACTACTCACGTGTTAACGGACATTTCTTCTCTCCCAAACTCTCTACTTCTTGCGAAATCTCTAGTTCTTTGCATCCTTATATTTACGGTCTCTAAATCTTAACAACTCCCTCTGTTCCCTTGACATCACATTGCTTCTCGTCAAAACTAAACCCGTCTAGTAATCTAGTTCGCACTCTCTGCTGCTACTGAAATCCTCTTGTCCTCTCCAATACTTAGGAGAGACTGGCGCTCTTCTTTTCTGACAGACTTTATGTTCAGTCATCCGCACACACAGGTTGTCAAGGTAAACATCAAGGTATAATTAAGGACTTACAAGATCCAGTCTGTCAGCGAAGAATAGTGAGGCTGTGTTCTGTGGGCAGACCGATAGCGGTGTGGACATGGAGCCTTGGTGACCAGGACCAGCGCTGGGAATACAGCAGCGCCTATAATGGCCAAGGTAGACGTTAGGCTGGTAAACACCAATGAAACTTTGACTGTTGTAAGATTCATTACATGAGTTTAAATTTGTAACTGGATTACAGCCTATGTGTAAAATTATTTGGAATAAAAACAATAAAGATTTGGACCCCAAAAATATTTATTATATTTCGGTCACAGGTTAGTACAGAAACAGTTTCGAGGACCAAAAAATTTTATCTTGTGGTACCCACTGTTGGACATTTTCAACACAGACACGGACCCACCTAACAGAGAAGCTGGCTGGTAGAGGCCCTGCAATCAAGAGGGACGGAAGGAGACCTACCTGACGGTGAGATGTTGGCCAGGACCCATGTGGATGCCGTACATCTGAGCGATGAAGTTGGAGCGGACAGGCCTTGTTTAGAGCCGCCGTGCCGTCCATGTTGATAGTGGCACCCACGGAAGCACAAACACGTCACCCCCGTTGTCTTCTTGTTGTTCTCCTCAAGCTCCTGGAAGGTAAGGGGCAGCGTTGCTGAGCTGTGGGTGAGATGTTTGTGTTAATATTCTAGCAAACATAAATTTCAAATGAAAATGAACCCTGTTTTTGGATTCCTCTTGGTCCAATATCACTCTCGATGTCATTAATTAATATACGCACTGTAAGAAGCCACGAGGTTAGCTCAGGGCATTGTGAGGCGAAGGAGGACAGCCAGGGTCAGGTCAAGTTGGACTTCTTGGAAGTAAAGATCCAACATTCAATTAGCTGCTAGAAAATAAATTAGTTATTATGTTAATATAAGATATTATGTATATTCTCCATCTTTATCAAATGTAATGAAGACATTTACATTTTGAAACAGCTAAAGTAAGTATTGACTATAGAACGATGCCATGCTTAGACTAATATATGGGACATTTTTGACGAAAGTCTGTGAAGCTTCATGAAAGATCAATTATTTTTTTTAAAAAATCAGCTTACAGGACAGCCATGGTCCTTAATTACAGACAAAAGCGTTGTTAGAGTCAGGCAAAGCAAGCACTTTGTTTTTTTGTGTGCTGTTTTTTAGTCGTCAGAACGGTGGATTGGCAAAGTTTCATTTGTATATGAGAGGAGAAATGAGCAGGAAGGAATTATTGCCAGCAGTCCCAGGTTGGTAGAAGTATAAAACCAGAAGAAAACTTCGAAATAAATCACTATGACAAATCCAAGTTTTGTATAACTGTGAACAAAAGGGCTTGTGAACGATTCTGTAAGTTAGAGCAAAGGAAGGCGTTTCAGGGAGTGTTCACTGGGAAAAGTGGAATTGAAGAAAGTCATTTTGGTACGATAGTAGGTTAAGTTTATATTTAAGAGGTTGAAAAACGAAAGGAAGAATGAGTGGAGTTAAGAAATAAGGGAGGTCACTTCATGATCAGGTTGCCTAAAAGTACACGAGTGATTATTATATGGATTCATGACTCGAAGCCAAAAAACCATGACTAACCACT